GGCATACTGGTTATACTGTGCCGATACCACCGCGCCGCCGCCGACCGTATCGACCAATAAATCATCGCCGCGCACAGATTATATACCTTTCGAAGCGCTCGTGCGCCAGATCACGTTAGCGAACCGCCGTCAGAACGGCAATAGTTTATAAGGGTAATTGTAAGTTAGTTATAAGCGATACATGTAGTTTAAGTGTAAATATATTCTAGTAGTTAAGATTACACCTGACTCTCTCTCTTTTCGAATTACCCACCGCCGGACCCTCGAATTCCCACGGCTATCCGTTGCACAGAAGTTACATATTCGAACGGTCACAAATGGCGCCCAAACAGGGACTCGAAAAGTGAGAGAACTCAGATTTGCGAGAAAACGAGACCGGCTACGATAGTATAAGAATTGTAAATCCGCACCGACATGGCGACACCGACCACCACCGGGTGGATACACACTCTCTCAAAGGAGGAGCTAATAAAGGCACTAAGCGAACGCGAACTGCCGACCGATGGCAAACGAGACGAAATCCGCGCCCCGGCTTCTAGAAAGCGAGCGAAACGCGAAAAGGCTCCCGCTTCCCGACTCCGAGGACGAGGAACAGGACGACGAGGACGACGACAACAAAGGCCAACCGACCGTAAAAACAAAGAAACGGCTAGCCGAGACCGCGACCATCCTGGACACAGTACGGAAGTGGGGATGCCAGTTCGAAGGGAAGGACGGAGTCGCATTCCTCGAACGACTGGAGGACCTCCGCATCAGCTATGGCATGACGCCCGAGCAGCTGCGCCCATGCCTGCCGCTGCTGTTCCGAGACTCGGCGCTACTATGGTACCGCAATAACCGGGACGACTGGCAGAGCTGGAAGGATTTCGAAACTTGTTTCCGCCAATACTACGTCCCGGCCGAGTCCGAATTCGAGCTCGAGGAAGCAATCGCTGGAAGGAAACAGGGGCCAGGAGAAACCGCACGCGAATACACCACCGCCCTGCAGACGCTCATGAGGAGACACGGACAGATGACGCCCGCCAGCCGGCTCGAACGGACCTACCACAATCTAAGGCCGGAGTACCATCTATACATACGGAGGGGCGACTTCCGAACCATGACGGAACTACTACAGCGGGCCGACGAGTACGAACGGGCCCGCCGGTACGAAAAGAAATACCAGGCCTCCCGCTCCGCCAACCAAACGGTCAAGTCAAGAACCGGACCAGACGCACACACGGCTACCATATCGCCGGGCTACAACCCGCAAGACTGCTGCTGGGGGTGTGGACAGAGAGGACATGCGCACCGGTTTTGCCGGCGGCCACCGAAGCTCTTTTGCTCGCAGTGCGGGAAGGAGGGCGTACTGACCCGGGACTGCCACGGGACCCGGGCGGGAAACACCGGAAGGGCCGAGGAGAAGTCAGGCACTCCCCGGCCCACAGTGGTCCCAAATCCCCAAAAGCTGGCCAAAAGTCGAAAAAAAATTTTTTTCTAGGGACTTTTAATGGTTGGAATAGTAGTAGTGGTACACCTAGTATGTATTATGACCGTTAAAAAAGGGGAAGCGTCCTTATCTGGCTTAGGAACGCATTCCGTTCGTGAGCGTGGGGCCCAGTGATGCTAGCCGAGAACGTTAGCACGGACGATGCCGCGGCGGT